ACTACATAATATCCACTGAGCCTACTTAGGAAAACTGAAAAGGTTTAATTGAACAAGTTATTTTTAAACTTGTAACTACATTACTGACCTAAGAGTAAATTAATGGTTGCAACAGGCCATACAATACTGTCACTGTCAAACTCAAAACAAATTTTGAAGTGTTTGTGGTTTAAATATTTTATTTAGATGAAAAGAAATAGTAAAAAGTAGAGAGTCACGGTTTCTGCTGTGCTTCTCTAAAATATCCCGTAGTATTTAAAGGTCATATATGTCAGTGATTTTCAAATAATCTTATCCACATGTACAAGTTAGTGAGTTAAAACACAGTAAAAAGTCCTAAATAGCTCCAATGAGATTTTCCAATGTTAACACATAGGGAATGACCTGGTCATTTCAGCTTTTGCTAAGTAAGTAAGACCTACTTACTATATATTTTTCCTTTATTTTCTTTTTTGTAAAGATTAAAAAAATAATTTTCATATTTTCAAAATTTTTAAGTAAGGTTAAATCTTAAAATCAAGGGCAATTGAAAACTGTGGAGATAAATGAAATAAAAATACTTGATAAATTATTTTTAAAAAAGAAATACGTATGAATCCTTTGAGAAACAAACCATATATAAATAGTTATGGGATAGTTACTTTTGAGTATATCTCAAGGAGTCTTGAGAAAGCAAGATCATGACATCTTGAGTGCCTATGGGTTAAGCACTTCATAAACATCATCTCACTTAAATGTCACAGCAACCTATAAAATAAGTTTTAACCAAAGCTTAGTGAGGCTGTCACTTACACATAAGTGATAAAAAGATTAGAACAAAGGTCTGAATCCAAAGTCTGAACATTTAATCACTACCTATTTCAATAGTGTATTATGAGTGAAAAGTGATTGCAGTCAAGAAGAAATGTCTGAAATCCCAAATCTGCCTTATTTGCTGGCGTATACCCAGTGCCTAACACAATGCCTGGTACATAATGACCCTTCAATAAATATTTCTTGTTTGATTTTTAAAGAAATTAGCTTAATTCCTATAAAGTGCCTAATAAAAATAGTAATGATGGTGATGGTGATGTCAAAAAAGGGGAGGGTAAAAGGTCAACCATTTGAGATTTTATCACAATAGAGGAAAAAACTGAGTTTCAAACTCTCATGAGATCACATTAGAGTGACAGTATTCACATGATGTAAAAGCCAACAGGGAAGTAAAGGAAACAGGCTTAACACTATTTTAATAGTCTACATGAAGGTTTATTATAGGTATACATTAGATTAAAGCCCAAAGCCTTTGTATCCCATTTCTTTTATTTTGGATTCACATTTAAGTAAAATGCATTTTTAATTAAAAGCCAAACAGAACAAAAATCTTTCCATGACTTCTGATATTATCAAAGATTTAAGAGTTTTAAAAAGATAGAAATAATCAATATTACTATTAGCTACAACTTACTGAGTGCCAGTCATATATTAGGTGCTTTTATATATTATCTATAATCCTTAAAATTATCTGGTAAATTAGTTAATATTCACATCTTACATGGGAGAAAGTAAACCTGAAGAAGCTAATAAGTAACTTGCCCAAAGGCATACAGTTGGTATTAAGTATCAAAGCTGTGATTTGAACCTCAATCTGATTCCAAGGCTTCTGGTTTTCCCATTATTTCAATGTGCCTCACAGAGAACTTATGTGGTTTTGACTACACCAGAGTATTTTTGTTTTTTTTAAGATTTTATTTATTTGTCAAAGAGAGAGAGAGAGAGCACAAGCAGGGGGAGCGGTAGGCAGAGGGAGAAGCAGATTCCCCACTAAGCAAGGAGTCCGATGCAGGACTCGATCCCAGGACCCTGGGATCATGACCTGAGCCGAAGGCAGACGCCTAACCAACTAAGCCACCCAGGCCTCCCGACTACACCAGATTCTTATTCTTGTATTCAATCAGGTGGGAAGAAATATATACATAAGTTACATAACACACATTAAGACAAAAACAAATGAGAAAATCTGAAAGACAACAAAAATGGCATAGGTAAAATGACAAGATTAGATCATAGCAATCATATGAATTTCATAAAACTTTGGTTTATGTGGTCTTTATGTATCAAACCTATCACAGGAGTCATCCTAAGATTAGAAAGCAAGCAATTTTTTTAAAAAATCACATCTTTAGTGATTAGCAATACTAATCTCTAATCATAGTAGTACTAATACTAAATCTAATCCATACTCATTGTAGAAAACTTGAAAGGGCAGAAAACTTAATTGAAACATTAATACATCCATTAATAACTATCCAAATTTGCCTTTTGTTTCATATAATGTACATGTATAAATATATTTAACAAAATTATACTTAAATACAGTTTTCCCCTACTTTTCACTTAATGTTGTTGTGAAGATCTTCTCATATCACCAAATATTATTCAGAAATGGTTTTTAGTTATTGCATGATGTCGGACAGTATAAACACATCTGAATTTATTTAACCATTCTGCTAGTGTTTAATTGATTTTAATTTTCTGGCTATCCTAACAAATACTGATATGAACATTCTTACATATAAATCTTTGTATCATATATTGCAAGGAAATGGCTTCTATTTCCTTTGAGTACCTCCTATTTTAATTAACATTTTATCTGAAAAATCTATAAACATACATTTTTGTATCTTATTTGCAATTTCCAATGTTTAGAGATTTTTTGCATGTATTTCTTCTAATGGTGGGATATCTTGATTTTTTTAAACATTTATATTCCGCCTAAGTACATCATAATACATAAATGTGTGTACATATTTATAATAAACTTAACCAAGTACACTTTTTATTTTGAATATGAAAATAAGCAATGAAAGAAACAAACATCAATATTTATGTGGATTTTTTTTTGTTCTCATTATATGGATTATTATCCTTCCATATGATACTAAAGAAAATATTTTTCACATGTAATCATATTCCTATAATGTTCCTCTTTCTATTAAGGTACTGACATAGTTGTTTTTGTTACTGTGTTTTGCTTTTTGACTACACTTACTACCAGTTGGATAGAAAATAAGCTATTTAAGACTGTATGTATAAGAAAATATGAAAAAAATGATGAGTCTACCAAGAATCACTTAATGAATTTCTTATAGTTTCAAACCAATGGATTTCTTAAGCAATTCAGTTTTTAAAAAAATTTTTGACATATTACGATGATTCTAATGTCACAAGTAAAATATCTTTAATCTTTTTTAGAAGATAGAACTGAAACATTAAAAAGATACACACTGAAAATTTATACTTTAAAAAAACTTTAAAGGATTTTCATTTTTGTCTTTTTGTAACTAAATGGTTGGATGTATCTCTTTTAACTCGATTGCTTTGTTCCAGAGAAACTATATAGCACTGCTATTTTTATCAATTTAGGAGACTACCAAAAAATACTAAACATTTTTCAAACATTTACTAAAATAATATTGTATCATTAATAAGAAATATTTGATTAACAATAATCGTAAAGCAATCAAATTCTTTCCAATTTATGCATGCATGATTCATACTATTTATTCAAAGGGAAGTCTTAAATATATACAAATAAGTAAATATTTGAAGTAGATGATTAGCTATATCATACAAAAGTTTTAAGAGTAGATAATACTTCTTAATGACTTTTCCCCTCCAAGACATAAATCATCTATGCAGACATATCAATTCATGCTTTTCATCAGTGAAATGGCCTAAATGGCCTAAATCTTGCCAAATTACTCCTGGAAGGCACATGCAAAGTCATATTATGATGCAAACTCCTTCAAACAAATGTACTTCTTTTAATACCTTCCTAGCAATTAGTATATACATATTTGATTATAAAAAACCAAGACACTTCCAAATTGTTCCAAATTTATATCTGAATTATTCATTTTATATATACTTAAAATATATTAGCCTCATTTCTCTACTAAATAAGAAACAATACATTCATGGTAGTTTAACATTAACAGAAAAGCAACAATTTGTTATTTTAGCTGGAGGATTTTTTATGGTAATTTTAGTTTTATTTTCATAGTGATGTTTAGTTCTATTTCGCATAGACAGGCTATACCAGTGAATGTGTCTGACCTAAAATACCAGGATTCTTCCATATATGCAACCAGCCTAATGTAGCTCATAAAATATGATTATAACTTCAAACTAATCACAAAATACAATTTTTTCTTAAAATCATTCCAATTGATACAAAAACGTTAGAATAAGTAACCTTTAAAATGCCTCTGCATGTTAATTTCTATTATACTATGAGATTTCTATCCTTAACATAAAACAGTGTGAGGAAGAGAGTCACAGACTATTGAGAATCATCTGATCTTATCTGTAACATATCACAGATATATTAAAAAAATTTCTGCATGCAAAGACCTGTGAGTAAAGATAGACTCCAAAACATATTTAAGGCAGTCATTTATAATCTTAAACTCTGGCAACCTTTCATTTTAATCTTTTCAGTGAAAATATTATCTCCATCATCATCCACATCATCAGACGAAAATTTATTAATTGCACAAAACAGATTTTTGAATCAAATGTAGGTTTCCACTGACAATGAATATATGACTATTTTCACACAGAAGAGAAGTATTTCCTCTCAACGAGCTAAAACAATAAGTGGTATTTGAACTGCTGGTTGAAAGGTAGAGGCACTGGTAATCATTATTTCCCCTTGTTTGTTCAGGTCCTTCCAACAAAACAAACAACCTTTTTGTGATTGGATTGACATGGTGTTAACAATGCATTTAATGCCCAAATCAGTATGAATACAGGTAAAGCTCTCACTAATACCAGTACCAGGATGTTAAAGCCACCTATTTTCTATGCAGCCAAAAAAAAAAAAAAAAAAAAAAAAGACAGAGAGAGCCTCCCCTCCTTTGGCAAATAAGCTAGTATGCTAGTATTCACCAAGCCACATCATATAATAACCTTGTGTATGATTTTTAAGAACATATGTTAATACTCATCTACTATACCTGCTGTCTTTTCAGCAATATAAGCTTCTGTTGCTTTCTCCTGGAGTTCCAGCTTAAGCTTTAGTTTTCTCTGTTCCTTATCTTCTTTATACAATTTTTCTTGAAGCTAAAACACATTGAAAAAACACAGATTCTTATTTGAAATATTTCTTGCAGAAATATACTTAATCCCAGAAGTAGAAATTATTTTTTCTAAGCCCTTCTATATTACATTTAACTGCGTAAATATATAACTCCAGGGGGTACCCCACAATATTTAAAATTTTAAGATATTCCATAAAGTAATAATTACCTATAATGATATAGAAATTACAAAAACATTTTGATATACACTTAATTTGTATGTGTGTATACAGGCAAATGAAATTAAAGAAGGAATAACATAATTATTAAAAATAACTACTGCATAAAGCAATCTGATCTGTTCTTTTGTCTTAAAGCAAAAGACTTGGAAGGCACTATCCTAATAAAATAATGGACAGCACAGCTTTACAGCTTCTCTTAGTAATTCTAATATTTTGAAACAAAATTAATTAAGATAATAATCTTAATATGTGAAACAAATCTCCTTTGAGAATGCTATCCCATCATATTCCATTTAAATTGGCACTGGCACCTGATTTATAACTGGCATGTAATAAATAATTGCTAAATGAAAATACAGAAAATATCTCCTACTTTCATACAGAACCCCTCAAATGTTTTGTTTTTTGTTTTTTTAATTTTTTAATTTCTCCCCTAGGTTTTATCATTTGTGTTGTTTTCCGTCAGGCATGATCAACATTCCTAACAACATGCTTTGGTATGATTAGGTCAAAAAACTAGAATATTAAAATCAGAAACGTATGTAGAGGTATGCAGAGGTTAAAAAAACAGAAGGCATAGAATATGAACATTATTTAATAACATTATTTAAAGCTCAAAGAAATGTAACTAGAAAGAGTCAGGAAAGATAAAACATCACATGACAAATTGGATTGGGCAAAATGCAGCAAGGAATGTGAAAATATTGCCAAGCCTTATGACTTTAAAGTTTAATGACATATACCATTGAGGTGAAATACAGGGCATCGATACTAATAAAAAAAGAAAAAAAACTTAAGTAACATGAAATCAGTACATTGTATTTTCACTTTCCATAATACTGAAGTAAACTTTTACTACAGTAAAACTTGAATTTTTTTTTTTAGGTACCTACTCTGGGCATCATAGATTTATGAAAAAGGAAGTGGTATCAGAGGCCAGCCAGGGAGGAAATTAAAGAAATTGCTTTTTATGGCCAATGTCTCACCTCAGTCATACTCTGATGGTATGGTATGGCAACAACATAAAGCTATACCATTAAAGGATGAAAGTACAGCATGAAACTGAATTATGATGTGCAACAAAGCAAACTTAGGTCAACAGATAAATGCACATTGTACAATTATCAGGCTTTCTCTATTGTACCTTTTTATTGCTTGCTCTGAGAATGTCCAATTCTTTTAGAAGAAATGCTATTTTCTTCTCTTTATCTAAGTCTGAAGTAACTTGACAAGGGATCATACACTCACAATGCAAATGATTATCTCTATGTTCCATGATGCTGTAATAAAAAAAACTGTTAAACAATATACACATATGATTTCTACTATACAGGATCTATAAGGTTTACAGTGCAAATGAGAGAGACAAATTTAATTTTTAACAAAGAACATGTGAAGTTACTTAATTTTAAATTTCTCTTTTTATACACTTAAGAAAATACTATGGATCAAAAAGAATAAATACATCAATTTCACAGAGGTACTAATCTAACAACTAAGAGAGCTAAATCTGTGGAAAGCATTTAGTAACTTCTACAGAGATTCATGGTTCAGTACATTTAAAGAATTCAGGTTTTAAGGGTTGTGAATAATTCAATTTATACTTTTGGTCAGCAGTCTAGAAACTTATCTCACTTTCTCGAAAATGGGAACAACAATCATACTTTTTGCAATATGGTTGACAGAATATCATTTTTTCATTATTAAACTCAAAACAAATTAAAAATGAAAACCTAGTCCTGTGACATTTAATGGTAAATAATTTTTTTTGACATTTTGTATGCTATTTGAGAACAGTATCCACTTGTTAGCAAGTAGTATAAAGAAGGGAAGGGAAAAGAGATGGACCATTTTTTGAAGGCATTATATTAAAGTTGTAAACATAGGTAAATCTTATTAGAGTTCCTAAGAAGTTAAGCAGTGAGGTCTGGGACAGTCAGTGCAGCTCTACCTACTACGTATTTCTTCTGTTGCAATGATATTAGATATTTCATACTGTGGCTTTAGCCCAATCTCTACTATTTATTACTATGTTTATCACTTCTTCATTCATCCCTACTCCTATCCCCCAAAAGTATATCCCAAACCTGCACTTTAGTAGATATAACTGTTTGCCAAAAAGTAGGAACACATTAATATATATCTACCACACTGTTTAATGTTCATTAATATATCTACTGAATAATTTTTAAATAATCATTTTACTTATTTAGCTGTTCGTATGCAAAACTGTTAAAATATACTGTATTAAATCAGATTTTATTTGGATTGAATATATAGTAATTGAAATTTTTGTAATTCTGGAGTATTTTCAAAATATATGACTAATTATCAAAGTACTTCAATCCCATAGAGGTAAAAGTCACAGGTGTCACAAAATCAAATCTCTTCCTGGGATAAGTAGGTAAGGTGAATGTTAAAAGCTGCAGAATGGAAAATAATAAGGAAGACAAATGGGAGAGAGTACAAGGCCTTTTCTAGAAGCATTCAAATTCATTTAAACAAAAAATCATGCTAACAAAACCCAAAACACATCTTTGGGCTTATTTTGTCCTAGAGATGCCAGTTTTGGGCTCTGATGATTAATTTCCCATTTATATCACCATAACAGTTATTTCCAGATCCAAAATGAAAGGACACAGAAAATAATATTCAACTTTGCCTTCATTTAAACTCACCTTGTGCTTTTTCACTTAGCAATCTACAGACATTACACCAATGTAAAGAAAACAGTAGAAAACTCTGGTAGATTGCCCAAATTCCAGTAAGTTTATATGTCCAGTTTAGCCCAAGCCAAAAAGAAAGGGAGGGACGAATGGAGGAAGGAGGAAGGGAAGAAGAGAGAGTTCTCCCAATCTTGTTTTCTAAATTTAGGGCTGGCAGCACTCACTTGGATTTTTTAGTAGTAGAGTCAGCTGTCTCATCACCTGGATAAGGAAAATTCCTTGATCTCTGCCCTGGCAGTTCTGTGTCCTCATGGGTGGCTTCATTAACTAATTCATTGGATTTCTGATGCATGCCTTCCTTAGAATTCACAGTTGGCTGTTCATCCGGCTCTGTACTTTTATTTCTCCCTGTAGTCTCTTGTTCAAGATAACTATGGGCTATCTCTGTATTTAAAACAAAGCAAAAACAAATGATATGTGAAATACCATACCTACATATTAAATCATTCAAATGAATATTTTTGTGGAAATAGGTGCTGTCATAGCTTTAAACATGTACTTACTAGTCTTACTCCTATTGTAATCAGCTAAGGATGTACAATATAGTTTTTCCACTTCTGGTAGGTATTTAGGGCAATGATTTACAACCTTGACTGCAGGTTGAAATAACCTGAGGCGTTTCTGGAAATCCTTAGCCCAGAACACATCTTATACTAATTAAATCAAACTCTGCTGGAGCATCCAAATAGCTCCAGCATACAATCAAAGCTGAGAAACACTGATGTAGGGGCCTTATTTTCTAGATTTCTTTTCCAGATTTCAAAAAATAGGACGCAGTAAGTTAATGATTATAGGGAAGTGATACTGTGCATGCAACTCTGGTATCAGACTGCCTGGGTTAGAATTCCAGCTTTGCCAAGTGCATAACTTTGGTCAAGTTACTTACCCATTCAAGACTAAGTTTCTTGTTTGTAAAATGAGAACATAATAGCATTTTTACTTGAGTTATTTTGAGGATTAACTGGGTTAATACATGCAAAGTACTTGGCTTAGTGTTTGGCACATCAGTAAGTGTTAGCTATTATTTTTATCATCATTATCGTAATTTTAAAATTAACAGAATATAAGCATTATTTTTAACGTCCATTTTTATCAGATATACATTATACATTAGAAAATCTATTTTGTAAAGCCTGGCTATCTCATAAGCTGTTATTTTAAGCTGTAACTAGTAAATAACAGCTATTTCAAAGGAATAGTATATCTGATGATATAGTGAAATTTTTGGAAGAAAATGACACACACACACACAAGTACATAAAACAAACTCTTTTACCAGTAAATCAGACCAATAGGCACAAATACTGATTGTAACAAATACTTTATTATTTCCAGCATCAATAATACTTGAACTTTAAAAAGCAGGTGAAGCTCACCTGTTTGTTGACGATGCCTTTTCCAACCTGTCAAACTTAAAATCCTTTTAAGCAGAAAGGCAGAGGACAGTAGTTTTAAAATAAAAACAAATTAGGAGCACTTATGAATAAGCTATCTTTCACAAAGTATTCATTCCTTAAGGAGAAATTCTTTGCTTGTAGATATGCTGAAATTAGGTGTGACCAGTTATAAACTCCAAGTCCCGGGCAGCAGGCGTTGGTGGTATAGTGGTGAGCATAGCTGCCTTCCAAGTCCCGGAAATTATCTGGTTGATGCCTGAAGCTAAATCAGAAACTACTTGTTTTTAGTAAATTCCCCTCAATTTCACTTTGAGGAAACAAATAGGGAGAATGTGCTATCATAATTATATCTGTAAGCTATCTATGAAATTTCAACATTATATTGTTTTGATATAAACTAACAATTCTAGGTATCTGAAGACTATTTGTTGGTTTTGACATTTCAAAATGCTTACATCATTTGCTTCAGAAGTTCATCATGCTACTTTTCTAAAAGAGGCTGGTATTAGTAGAATGGAACCCCCAAAATCTAAGTTAGGGAATTTTATAAATGGACATTAAAGAATACCACTATATCGTCAATAAACTAGGCTTTCTAACACTACCATGTAACTTTAAAAGTACAGTTGACTCTTGAACACATGGCTCTGGACTGCACAGTTCTGCTTATCCATGATTTTTTTTCAATAAGTACCGTAGAATACTGTAAATGTATTTTCTCTTATGATTTTCTTAGTAACATTTTCTTTCTCTAGCTTACTTTACTGTAAGAATGCAGTATATAATACATATAACATGCAAAATATTTGTTAATTGACTATATTATTGGTAAGACTTCTGGTCAACAGTAGGCTATTAAGTAGTTAACGTTTTAGGGGAGTCAACCGTTACGTGTGAATTTTTTTTTAAGATTTTATTTATTTATTTTTGAGAGAGAGAGAATGAGCATGAGTGGCAGAGGGAGAGGGAGAAGCAGGGAGTCCGATGAGGGACTTGACCACAGGACCCTGAGATCATGAACTGAGCTGAAGGCAGACAATTATCTGACTGAGCCACCCAGGTGCCCTATATGTGAATTTCTGACCGCATGGGGTTGATGCCCCTAACCAACAGATTGTTCAAGGATCAACCATAACTGAAATGAAAGAGAATTATAAGTAGTTACTGAAAGCAATATCAAAATAACAAAACTTGTCCCCAGAAATGTATCAGAAAGTTACTATTAGGGCCTGCCTATACTATTCTCCAGTTTATGAGACACAAAGATTCCCCAAAAGGTAAAAAGATGAACCATGGAGCACTTGCAGCTATAAAAAGTCCCCAGTACTCCATGACAACACAATACCAACTGCTTCAGAATCTTAAGTCTTGACTCTTTGATCTGCTTTGGACATTATGTACATCAGTATGTATATTACCATTATCTTACCACTATGTACAACTTGTTCCATATTTTTACCTATGTATTTCTGGGTCTAGTTCAGCATCTTTCTCCTCTCAGTTTTTTATTTCTAACCTCCTAGTGTTTGCTTTACTCCATCCCTGGTATCTATATTTGCTATCTGCTTACTTTATTTATAGCTCTCTTCCTTACTTCAGCTTACCGAATGCCAAATTTTATGATCTGCTGAACTCTTGGTAAATCAGCACCTTTTCACCCGGGACTGCCCTATCTTCACCAAACTCAGAGCAGATGTGTGCTCTTCCCAATAAAAGGATTCTTTGTGGATCCCTCCTGGATTATAGTAATTATAATCCCTCATAGTATTATTAAAATAAACTCAGCTAGTCCTAATGTACTTCTGAATTTCAATTCTAAATGTTTACTATTGTTAAAGAACTCCATACTGAGTGACTTGGCTCTGATTAATTCTAGATGTTTCTAATCTTACTCTGTACTAAGAGCTTTTAGATTCCCAACTGTAACTGCTTACCAGACATTTGGAGCCTCCTCTGCAAATCAGACTATCCATACTCTTCTACGGAGAATTTAATTTTACTTTAGGGTAATAAGGCTGATTTATAAAATTTTCCTTTCGTCTATGTTTTGGCCAACTATTGTAGTAAATGTTGCTTAAGTCCTCTCTCAATGCTTTTCCACTCTGCCATGTTGCATTATCCTATATCAGAATTCAACTTCTGTATAGAAAGTTTGACCCCTCTAATTTATTTGTTCATTAATTTAATAAGCCACGGAAAACCTCCAATGTGATATGCTGTATGAAAGTACTGGGGAAAACAAAGACAAGTGGGAAACAGACTCTCCCTTCAAGGACTCTGTAGTACAGTGAGGAAGGCAAACTGGTCTAATGATTTGAATACAATGTAAAAGGACTATATCAGGACTATAGTGACCAAATAAAAAACATGCTAGACATACAGATGCTCAACTAGAAGACTCTGGGGAGATTTCACAAAGGCATTTGTTCCAATAAAAGGCAAGTAGGGATGTGCAAAGCAATCAGTTACTAAAGTGTTCGAGTTAGATGATGTAAAGAAAAAGTTGACAGACTGTAAGAATAAAAAACAGGAAAAAACACGCATGGGTACAGAGAAGGAATAACTTTTGGAAAAACAGGCATTTCTTGTATGTCTTTCTTGAATTGACAAGATGTTATAGTAAGGGAGTAGAAATTTCTAAGATGAGTAATATGTAGGACAAAGTCCAAGATGTGGTTCATCTGGGAATGGGTTAATGAAACTGATGGTGAAGGTACTTGGAGAGGAAGAAATCAAGGAATTAGAGTACTGAAAGTGTCACCTATTAAGACATGGAAATCATTCAGAAAAATGGTAAGAAAAGAAAAGAGAAATGAGAATCAAAACTTCACTGACTGCATGAACATGATGAAGACAGAGACAGATGAAAGAGCTGACAGGAACTGATTGTAGGTAAGTCATTTCTTTTTATCCTTTTACTTTGAAATAATTTCAGTTTTATAAAAAAGTTGCAAAAACACTACAAAGAATTCCTATATACTGGGTGAAGGCACCCAGATTCTCCAGATGTTAACATTTTAGCGCATTTGCTTTATTATTCATTTTCTCCAAATCTACCTACCTACCTGCCTATCTACACATGTAATTTTTTCCATAACATTTGAGAGTAACTCACAGGCATGATGTACTTTGACTTTTCAAGTCAAATTTTAAGATGATACAGCTCTATCATATTGCATTTTGCCAAGTTTTCTTTACTCTTTTCAAAGCCTGACTTAAATTCAGTTTCTGAGTTAGTGACTCTAACTCAGTCGTCAGTTATTTTCCCTAAACTCTCCAGCCCAGAAGAAAGACCATTACGGGGGCACGTCGGTGCCTCAGTCATTAAGCATCTGCCTGTGGCTCCGGTCATGATCCCAGGGTGTTGGGATCGAGCCCCACATTGGGCTCCCTGCTCTGGGGGAAGCCTGCTTCTCCCTCTCCCACTTCCCCTGCTTGTGTTTCCTCTCTCGCTGTATCTCTCTCTGTCAAATAAATAAATAAAATCTTAAAAAAAAAAAAGACCATTATGAAGTGATAATGGGGTGAAGCTACTAAAAGCTTCAGTTGAGCTGTCTGGATTGCCCCATCACCTGAAAAGGCATTGCATAAGGAAATTTAAGTTTATAAGGCAATACAATGCAACAAAAAGAGAAGTTATAGGTCTGTTTTGTACACTACTCAATTAGAAAGATAACTGTTTAAAAGAAAAAACATATTCACTTCTGATTCAAACTCTTATCTCTAGGCAGATGAAAGCTTAAAACTAAAATTATTCTATTAATTCCTCTCTTTCACATGGTTTAAAATGGAAACTCCATAACCTTCTTTAGTAATCTGCTTCAGTGTTTAATAATCAATGTCCTTGTTAACTGTTCCATCATTATGATGAACAGAATACTATTTAAATATATTTCTCCATATGGACTTAAGAGACTAAATTATCAATCTCTTCATACTTCATAAGACTCTGAAGTCTTTTTTTTATTATGTTAATCACCATACATT